CAGTGTTCTGCGAAACTTTGTTCTCACAACCAAAGTTTTGCATTACTCCAGTTTAAGCAACTCTTTTACTTGAAGAAGCTTTCAGCTTCTTCCGCTTATGATAAAATGGTTCCTTCTTATCCGAAATTGATGTCCTGGAAAGAGGATAAGGATTGCTGCTTATGGGATGGGGTAACATGTGATACGGTGACCGGTCATGTGATTGAGCTTGACCTTAGTTGCAGTTGGCTTTATGGCAGCATCCCTTCAACCAGTAGCCTAACAGGTCATATCCCTACATCATTGTCAAATTTGACAGCTCTTCGCATGCTCAATTTATCTGGAAATAGTCTAACAGGTCATATCCCTACATCATTGTCAAATTTGACAGCTCTTGAGTTGTTGGACCTCTCTTCAAATAAGTTTGTTGGAATGATTCCAATGGAATTAGAAAGTTTGAACTCTCTAGCTGTATTAAACCTTTCATATAACCATAGAAAGTTTGAACTCTCTAGCTGTATTAAACCTTTCATATAACCAACTTACAGGACCTATACCTCATGAGAAACAGTTTGCAACGTTTGACGAATATTCCTATATTGGGAATTTGGGGTTGTGTGGAAGACCATTGTCAAAAGAGTGTGCTGATGATGAGGCACCGTCGCCTAAACCAAGGTCATAGGTTTTGGATGTGGATTGTTGATTGGCTTGTTGGCGGGCATCCATAATTAAAACTAAAAACACATGTAGTAGTGTGAGTCAGGGTCATTCCCACGGATAGTGTCTAGCCGTATTTTATGTTATGTGAGCAAGGCTGATGGGGGGTTTTAGTAAAACAGAAATAATCTCAGGAAAAACAAAAGCAATTCAAATCTAAATTAATCAAAATAACGAAATTTGGTCTCCGTCAACATCCACCGTCAGAATCTTACAACTGATCATTGATGCAAAAGTAAATCAATTCTTACTTTGAATATTCACCGTTGGAACTATTTCTCTATCTCTCCTTAATTGTAATTAATTAGGAAACAAGCAATCTTGATTAATCTTACCACTAAACAATCCTAGACAAGCGCTAAAGATTTAATCTAGTGGCAGCCTTAAGAATTAGAGAAATCGACGAAATTAAACAACACAAACTCAAGCGGTTGTATTTAATTTAGTCGAGTGTTCTTTTTAAGATTACTAATTCCTGACGCAGCAAATTATTAACCCCAATTGCTTCACAAGTTAGAGGAATCAAACAATTACAGATTTGATATCTAACTTAGCAGTAGATTGCAACAATTAATAAACTAGTAGGCCTCCTAGTAATTAAATGCAACAATCATAAAATTAGGCACAGAAGAACATCCAATATTCAAACACAAAAATTGAACACAAAAAATAGATTAGATCTCACAGTTTATTGATTCCAAGGCCTCTGTTTCCTTCGACCAAGTTATAAAAATTAGCCACTCATGGCCATCACGAATATTCAAAGGAAAAACGAAAATCCACCCAAGAAAGAAGAGAGAGAGGCGTGTGTGATATGTCTTGTAATCCCTAATCTGATCCCTCTTTTAAAAATATCTAAATTCTATTTCTAATTCAACTCAATCTCCTCAAAATATTCTAATATCCTAAAGTAACATTTATCCTAATTTGATTAATTGGAAATAAAATAATAAAGTCCTAAAATAAAATAGGAAAGTGGTGTTTTCCAGCTGTAATTTGCGTGCAATAGGTCTTCAAAACTTCTTGTAATAATCTACCTATTTGAATTGCATGACAAGACAGAATGTTCTAGAACGTCGGCAGTGCAGGTGCGTCAATTTCAAGCTCGATTACAACCTTGATGCAGTGAGTATCTCTCCAAACTCAAAACATTAAAGTTGTAGATCTCTTTCTTAGCATTCCAAAGCATTTCGAATCATCTCAATCGGAGCTCAGACGAGAGAGTTATGCCCAGATTACAAAACAATGTCGAAACTGTCCGAATTCACTTAATTAGTTCTGTTTTGAAATTAACTCCTCCATTTGCATCCTAAATCAAAATAGAATAATAATGAGTACATTTAGGCAGCAAATAAGTATAAAAGACTAGACATTAAGTGGGGGTAAATATGACATTTGGCATTCTCATCACTTGTTAATGGGGTATGCTACAACAGAAAATGCCCGCCCAATCAGGTGAGTATTCCAATCTTCTTTTTGCTTATTATTTTAAATACTTTCATTTCATTGCATAGCTATTTTTTATTTTATCGTTGACCTATTGAAGAAGTGATGATACAAATGAGTAATGAACCAGAAAATTGTATGAGAAATGTATTATTACCCTTGTGTGACTGAAATCGAATCAAGCATATAAGCTTTATTTTGAAATTTCTGAGAATTCTGAATGTTTACGAATAACATTGGATATCTGAATGTCTGTGGAGCTTGCCTAGATTTTGAATTTGATTATCATCCTCATCATCGTATCTTTAGTAGGATTTTTACGTCATGCTTATTTAGGCCTTTATATGTAATTAGCAGAAGAATTTTTACCTTAAACGTCTAAGGAGTTATTGTCTCAGCATTTAACTTAAATTTTTATCATTAGATTAAGTAAAATGAATGATTGAGAATTTATATTTAGTAAAAGAATAATAAAAAAAATCCCAATTCATTATTATTTAAGATTTGCAGTTGTTCATGACACCAATTAGAGCTTAATTATATTAAAAAAAAAATTCTGTATTAATCTTTTTTCCTCTATGATTATTTGCTAACTTGTCAAGCTCACTCCTTCCCTTACCTCTTTACAGATTTGGAAGAACGTTTGGAAATCGGTAGAGTTGGAATGAATTTACTATCCTTTCTGTAGAGTTTTGAATAATTTTGAGTGTTGGAATTGCCTTGTTGTGTGATGATATATTCAATTTGAAGAATTTTGAAGTTCTATAAATTCTGCAAGTTTGACAAATTTATTTAGATTATCAACTCTTGCCCTTGTGATATACACCTATCAATTTAGGGGTGAAAAAATCCGGTTAACCGAACTGGTTCACCCTCCACTTGAACCAAACCGAATTCCGGTTTAGGTGATAACCGGACCGGTTTTCTCGTTATCGGTTTTAAACCCCTTTTTTTAAAATGGGCTGGGACAGTTCGGCCCAATTCAATAAAGCCTTCCACTTTAGCCCAATTTCTTTCTAAACAGATTCAAATGGGTCTGGACATTTTACCCAATATCTGTGAAACAAAAGAGAGGTGGCCAAGACGCGTTAAAAGTAGGGGTGAGCACGGGTAGTGGGTAGAACCGGAACCGGGGGTAAGAACCAGAACCGGAACCGGAACCTACCCAGAACCTGTACTGTGCGGGTAGGTTCCGGTTCCAATTTTTTGGAACCGCTACTGTGCGNGATCATACTAATGTTTATAATGGAATGTTATAATTAATTAAGTAATCATTTGTTTATAATATAATGTTATAATTAATTAAATTTCTAATTATTTAATTAAGTAATGCACTAAATTACTAATGTAATGTTATAAATTTATAATTAATTAAATAATCATTTAACTATAATGTAATGATATACTTAGAACTTGATAATTGAAGTAAATAACTAAATATTATATTATTATTCAATCAAATATACTATTTTATTAAAAAAAATAATTCTTTTAATAACATTAAAACACTTTTAATTGGTCATAATTCCAATTGTACACTTAATTAATCAAAACTTTAATATTAATATATTAAAGTTTTTTATATGGTATAGTTTATATGTAATAATTATAACTGTATATTTATTTAATTAGGTTATTATAAAAATTTAACTTTTTCAATTTTAAATTATTTTATATGTAAAATTAAAATAGACCCCCCATTCTTTACATATATTTCATTTCAGCCCAAGTTCCAAAACAGGGTACCCGCTGCAAATTCCAAGCCGGTTACTCGTTGCAAGTTCTTTTTTTTTTTAGTTCTGGTTCTAGGTCCTCCACATGTAGGAACCGAAACTGGAACCGCACAGTATCGGTTCCAAAAAAAAGGAACCGGAACCTACCCACACAGTGTCGGTTCCGAGTAGGTTCCGATTCCAGTTTTGATTCTACCCTCAGGTTCCAGTTCTACCCGCTACCCGTGCTCACCCCTAGGTCTAAGGAAATAAGCTTTTTCTCTTTTTCGTTTTGGTTCCAAAAGATAGATGGAATCTTTTCCATTTTGGTCCTAAAAGATAGATGAAATCTTTTCCAGTTTTGGACCAACATATGTTAGCCCTTGTTTGCTAACTTGGCAAGAATTGGGGAGCACGAAATTGGCCTATATCATCTTCATTCTTGCTCATTTGTAAAGCTAACCTTTGATATTTTATTTTGCTTGTGCTTTGAAATTTTCAAAGAGTTTTTTTTTTCCTCGAAGGTTCACCTTATGTTTATGTGCCAAACTTTCATCATCTCTTATACTTGATTGAATGGCAGCTGGAACTTGGTTCCATTATTTATGCTGGAGCGTGGCCTTGGCATGTGAAGCTTAGGTGGAGCTCAAGTGTTCTTCGAGTGTGTTCTTGGCTTGAAGAGATCCTTGGAGGAACAAGACGTTAGAGATTTAGAGGGTGGTGTTTAGTGTAACTACAACAAGGAGTTCTCTTTGTTGTAGCTAAAGTCAACTTTGAACTATATCTTGTAATGTTTGTTGTTTAATGGATTTGCTTCAATCAGGACAAGGTCTTATGGATGTACGCTAAGAGTGGTTTTAGCCAAACCATGTGTATGATGGCGTGCTTTACATTTATTGTTTATGGATGATTGATTTGTGTTTAACTTGATAACCATTAAGCAATTTGGTAAAAACTTCCGATGCACTTTAAAAATGGGTACCTAAATGTTAACTAGAGTTCACCAACTCTAACAAAAGACTTGAAATCGCAAAAATCAAGGTATTGAGCGATCTTACCATACCAAGCCCATGGAGCTTGCTTGAGGCCATACAACGCCTTCTTGAGTCAACACTCATGTTCAGGAAACTCTTTAGGAATAAATCCCTACAGCTGGTCCGTGAAGAAATCACGATCTAGCTCCCCATAGAGAAAAGCATTCTTCACATCTAGTTGCCAAAATTTCCAGCCTTTGTATGCAGCCAAGGGGATAATTGTTCGAACTGTTACCATTTTAGCAACAGGGCTGAAATTTTCCTTGTAGTCTAGCCCATATTGCTGAGAAAAACCACATGCAACCAGACATGCTTTATGCCTGTCAATAGTACCATCAACTCTCTTCTTTAACTTGTAAACCCATTTGCTTGTAAGTACAACAACATCCTCTGGTTTGCAAACAAGCTCCCTCGTAGAATTCTTGTGTAGAGCAGATATTTCATCTTGCATTGCTTCTTCCCATTCAAGAATACCTTTAGCTTCACTGTAAGTTTAGGTTCATTTTCTGAAGCATCTCCTATAAGAAAGCATGACAAAACAGTACAATGATTCAATTGCACTTCATAGTCATTCNTTGAACTTTGATTTTACATATTGATGAAGAGGAAAGAAAAAAAAAATGATTCAATAATTGGATCACTAAATTTTCCTTACAAGAAGTGACTTTCTTGATTTGCAAAAGCATCCCTGCCAAGCTCATTGAAAGCTATATCATCCAAGCTGAATCCTTCAGGAATCTCTATGTTATTATTAACTCTAGAATTTAAAAAAGCTTCATTATGAACATTTTGATGATCAAAAGACACCAAAGATTGTTGTTGTTCTTGATATAATTGTCCCTGATGATGATGATGATGTTGTTGCTGTTGCCATATCTGAGCCTGTCGTTTCAATTGCTGTGGCTGTTGATTATCTGTTGGTGAATAGAACTGATTGCCGCCAAAAGCAGCCGTCCCATAAGTCTGATACCTTTGATTTTGTTCATTTCCAAGGCCAAAACTCAGGTTGACTGGCCCCTTTTTGCTCCCAAATGAAAAGGGTGCAGAGCTAGGACAACCTGTGAATTGTTGCACCAGGGATCTGAAATTGTTAGCGTTGGCATTGAGGAGAGTCGTCGGAGTCTTCTTCGAAGCTCTCGATCGTCTCCGAACGGGTTTCGACACACACCCTTTCGGGTTCAATGGCTCAGAAGTTGTTGAGCATAAGTTTCCAGGGCCTAAAATGTTCTCGGATGAGCTACTTCTTGTGACCAAAGTGGCATCAGAAAATGGCACGGAATCTCCTTCCAGGTTTCGCTGATAAAACTGCATCCATTCACCAGAACTGGCCATGGTTCCGCTGAGGTTTTTGAGTTGTGATATCAGTCTTTAAACTCTTAATTTAAGGAGACGTTTTGTGTAACAGAAAGAATAAGCAAAGGTTTGGTGGCTCCATGTAGATTTATAGTGACAGGTTATGTGGTCAAAGCAAATATGCACACTATTGACAATTCCTAGTGAGAGTGAAAGCTACTGACTTAAAGCCAAGTTATGCTGCTTCCAGGAAACAACACAATTAGTTAATTTCAAATGAGGTGATCATATCATTGCATACCTCATTGATGGGTCTATCTTACATAAGACCGAGTGAGTCTTTAGCTGAAATTAACATACTAAGCCATCTACATATCAGTTCAGTAAAAAACTATTACAAGATAAAAGTAATAAAATGTTTTGTATCAAAAAACTAAGAAATGAAATTTTACTGATTCCTTATGAAATTTTGGTTTGATTTTATCTTTTCTTAGATTTTTCGTTAAGGGGGAATAATTAAATAAAAATATATGTGGTATAAATTTAACAGATGTAACATATGAATGACATTATAAATCTGTCTTACTATTAAAAAAAAAAAAAAAAAAAAAATTCCTTTTTTTCTTTTTAAGCTCGGAAGCTTTTGAGAGGGTCTTGGTCAAAAAACATTTAAAAAGTGTAAAGAAGATAAAATACTTTTTGTCTTCTGATAAAAACTTAGATGTAGCTAGCTACCAGCTACCACTTATTCCATTAATTTCTTGATGATGAAGTTTAGATAAACATGCATCTTGCTTCACATGGGTTGTGACAGAGACTCAGAAAGAGAAAATAATGAATGGAAAATATGACCCAACAACCACCAGATTTCTTCCTTTTGACCACATTTTTATTATTTATTATTTATTATTTTTTTATCTTTTCCTTTGTGGCATACCATACTTGAATTTACCTCTCTATTCATGCCACAATTTAGGATTTGAGGATGAAGACACAACTTCTTTATCAGGAATTCCCTTAATTCTTCTATTTTTTCTCTATTTTTTTCCTGTTACCCAGTTAAGAAACAAGACCAAATCATCTACCCACGAGGTAAAATCATCCTACTGAAATTAGTCGCATTAACATATAATATGTGGTTAATTTCAACTGGACGGCAAAATAATTTGGTAAGATTGTCTTATATAAATTGTTTTCTAAAAACAAATCGAAAATATCACAAAGATATATTGGTTTTATTTCAGGTATAAATTTCTTTTTACTCGTATGATAAATTAAGAAAAATTTCTTATATTGGTTTTTTTAGAGAAAATAATGCCTTATTTTTGAGGAATTACTTTCTTTATTTTTTAACTTTGGAAAGAAACAATATTCCAATATCAATCCTTTTTCAAAGTACCTAAAAGAGGTGTTTGAATACATATGGCCTCACCTTTTTTTTGTCTAGATTCATTTTCCACTTTTCAAATACACGTGCTAAGAAAATTATGTCTTTCCCATGATAGTTTTCACTACGTAATGGAAATGAAAGCATTTTTCTTTTGTTTTTGCTTCCTGTAAACGAAATGAAAGCATTTTCATTTCCCTTACATATTTTAGTGGCCTAACCATAATTTCTTGATTTTGAATTGATTCAAACCAACCCTCTACAGAATGTTCCAGGCAAAGAGTAGCACTTCAAAATTCTTTTCTTCATTGCTAATTGACCCATTAACAAGGTCAATCTCACAAAAACACTTTCACTGTTAGAATGTTAATTTCTATTACAATTGAATAAAATCTCTGATGTAACAAATACATATACGTATGATTAATCCGGGAGTGTATGCATATCATGTATGATATACATGTGCATCCTATGGATCCGAGTTTTTCCATTTCAATTGAATAGCACAATATATAAGTGAAAAGGGGAAAAAAAAAAATTCTAGTCAACAAGGGTTTGGCCTAGTGGTCAATAATTTGTGTCTGGACTAGCTTACACACATCTCAACTAATCCTCGAAACTTATTGAACCCCAAGGGGTTGACTTGGTGGTCAAGAAGATTTGTTCCCTTTATTAACTTCTTGGATTCAAATCACCTTGGAGTTACCTACCATATTTATGGCTTACTTAGAATATTAGGCTTGTATGGTCTTCAATGGACCCTAGAGATTAATTGAGGTGTACACAAGTTAGCTCAAACATCTCGATTATAAAAATAAAATAAAAAAATTTAATTTCTGTTTCAATCGAGAAAATCTCTGGTGTACCAAATGCATATACATCTAATTAATCAGGGAGTGTCAACATGTTATGCATACAATATATGTATATGCATTTGACTGACATATACATATCATATATCATGCACGATATACATATACAAAATGGGAGGAGAAAAAAAAAAGGCGTATTTAGCTTTGTTTAAAAAGTGCTTTCTACAGGCAAAAGCACTTGACCCAAAAGTGTATATGTTTCCAAGAATGATGCCAACCAAACATTTGTACCCTGGAATTCCTGCTTGATTCTTCTGTTAATTAATTAAACGTGTAAAATTATCTTCACATTTTCATCTAGCAAATTAATTAATTTTATCTTTGTTTTTATGCTGGTGAAGAGTTGTGCTTAGCCTTATTATAAACAAAATTATCTGCATGATTTTGCTTCAACCACCCCATATGCTTCAGGACAAATCCTGCAATTTCCACAATGGAAAGTTCAACTCTTGTCAATTTCAAATTTTAAGTATTGAAATTATTATAATTGCTATGCCAGCTATATTATAAACAAATAATACATCATTTTTTATTTTCTATTTTGATGTGATCTAGAAGTTCTTTGTAGATGCTTCTTCTAGTTATTAGATAATTAAAATGTTTATACTAATATTCACACCTTTTCATGTATAAAACCTGAAGTTGACTTCAGGAATTTTTTTTTTTTCTCCTTGATAATATATTTTTAATTTATTCATTGCATTCACACTGGCACAAACTTCTTAAACTTAAAAAACAAAAAAAAAACAAAAAAGTTTCCTTCACGAAGGGAATTACAAGGAAGTTTAAGAAGAGAAGTCATAGATTGCATACTCATCTTGAGAGATATATATAATTTTATGGACAATTTTATCATGTTAGCATACTGATGAAATGAGATCGTAAACCTTCCTTCCTTTTTTCCTTTTTGTCGAATAGGTGATCTTGTATTTATTATTCAAGAGTTTTTGTGTTTGATTCATCTCGTTTGCTAATAATGATTGTCACTAAAGGTTTATTCGTTCATTAAATTCATGGCCCAAAAGATAAGTTGAAGTATATTTTTCAAAACAACATATCAAAATGAAAATAGTGAAAACATGTTTGCCAACATCTCCCTGTGATTTATAAGAAATATTGGAATTTAATTCAATCAGCATGCTAACACATCACCATAATATTTTTGAAAAGTACAATATTTGTACTTGAGCATCTTATACTTTTAAGTACAATGTCAAAATCCTAATATATATATTAACATTAACAAATGACCCAAATTGCAAGTTGCATATTATTCAACTTGACAATTACATGTTGAGTTGTATTTTATTTTATTATTTCTTTGAAATACCAATGTGAACTTTAAAGCATTTTATGAAGAAAACTAGGTGGACCCTTTAAATTTTTCTACAAATAAAAATCTTGATCTTGTAGAGCAAGTCTTCTGTAGATATGATTTTGACTTTGAGATTTGTTATCAAAATCCTTTGAACAATTCACATCATTTTCTAAATTAAAAAGTTTGTTGCTTGATTGACTTGGCAATTAAGAGTATGATGTTTTATAAATTAACTTTGTGATTTTGGAGAATATTAAAAANTAAGTACAATGTCAAAATCCTAATATATATATTAACATTAACAAATGACCCAAATTGTAAGTTGCATATTATTCAACTTGAAAGCATTTTATGAAGAAAACTAGGTGGACCCTTTAAATTTTTCTACAAATAAAAATCTTGATCTTGTAGAGCAAGTCTTCTGTAGATATGATTTTGACTTTGAGATTTGTTATCAAAATCCTTTGAACAATTCACATCATTTTCTAAATTAAAAAGTTTGTTGCTTGATTGACTTGGCAATTAAGAGTATGATGTTTTATAAATTAACTTTGTGATTTTGGAGAATATTAAAAACATAAAAAGAATTCATTTACAGAAAACGAAAACACGTTCGACATGTTTATCTTAAAATAATATTTAGAAGATGTGAAAATCAAAGTACGTTTGATATGTTTGTTTGAGATGATATTTTAAAATATATATATATAAAATTTGAAATCACATTTGGCAACAAACCATAGTCAAAATGGATCTTAATTTGATCTACATAAAGAGTAGAATAAAATAGAGTCCCACCCAAGGTTTGCCTTAATGACACTTTCCTACACAAAAAGTTTCAAAATACCACTTTTCCACCTAAAGTTTATATTCTGTTAATACGCAAAATATACTTTACTTTCTCAGTCGGCATTCGGCGAGTTCTCTGGAGCCAAGATAAGAGAGGTTTTGTAGAGTAGAAGCTGGTGGATCAAATGGTGTAATCGATTGAATATTCAGTGCCAGAATTAGCCAAAAATCGACTAAGGATAGGAAACCCTAGCTTTGTAGTGGCCGATAATCAACAATAAATCAGGTGACGGAGTGAAAGATGTTTTGTAGAGAGAAGACCGGAGGTTCAAATGGTAGTGACGGGGAGAATTTTTGTCGTCGAAATCGGCTTTAGGTAATAACAGAATATTAACTTTGGGTAGAAAAGTGGTATTTTGAAACTTTTTGGATGAAAAAGTGTCTTTAAGGCAAACCTTGGATGGGAAAAAGTCATTTTCTCAATAAAATATCGTGTAAATGGAATAAAAAATCATGTTTGATAGAGCATTCAACATTGTCTTACATGTAGAAATCTTAAGTTTTTAACATGCAAATCAAAAACTAGATTGGTCAGTAAGTAGTCGCTAATTTTGATTTTTTTACTTTTCGAAAAGTTAGTTATTTTTTACTAATCTTTGATTATTTGTTGAAATTTTCAAACGTCGGATACGGAAATTGACCAATATTTCATATAGAATTTTACAAAATAAAAATAAAAAGGGTCACAAAGCTTATCAAGATCAATGATTTGAGTATAGCTTAAAATTTTATATTAAATAAGGTGACCTTAAGAGCATTGAAAGGATTTATTGGTTGACAAGCTTTCCTTTTCCAAGAATAAAGAGAGAATGTTCTCTCTTTTTTCCTACCTTTTTTTTTTTTTATCTTTTCTTCATAATTTCTCCATAATCTCTTCGTATATATAGGGCCACGGATAGGAAATAAGTGTAGAACACAAAAAGAACACTTAAACCCGCCTGAGGAGGTTACCCCCCTTAAATTTACAATCGGTAGTCAAATTCAAACTCTAAAACAACATTTTTTACACAAAGACGAGTGAGTTACTCATTCTGCCTATATATATATACACACACTCATTCTACCCAAACATAGGTTAACATCGGTTAAATATGATTTGGACTACTAGACCCAAACCCCATAGGGTAAAGTAATTATCTAAGTAGAGTAACCTCAAAATGTTAATCTAACGGTCAATAGGGTTTACTTATTTTTTTGAGTTTCTAGGTTCAAAATCTTAGTGCCACCTACACATAATAACATTGTAACTTACCTAGTCTTTTGGACTTGTAAAGTGTTCAATGAACTTCAAATATTAGTTAAAGTACACACAAATTTGTCTAAACACCCCGATTACTAAAATAAAAAATTATAATAATTCTCTAGGTAGAATACATCAAAAATTTCTTGATTAATGAATTAAAATCAATGACATAATACTTGTGATGTATTCTTGATTGTTTTTTTAAGAAAACAAATTATGAAATCAAAATGTAGTGTGAATGGACTTAAGGTTTGGCATGACAAAGAACTTAGTAGATATAAATTGGTCAAAGATGAACAAATAGAAAGGACAATTGACTCTAAAGGAGGACCATTATCTTCATAGAGGACATAAATTTAGAATCTTGTAGTCAGTCAAATTTAAATATAGTATTTTTGACTTGGACAATTCAATTTGACCGCAAAGCCACAATACAAATAACATTGAATTGAATCAAACATTTTCCAGAGCTTTGATAGATAAGTAGATAACAAATGATGCAAAGAATTCCTCAAGAAATTATAAAGCAGAAAAAAAATCCCCCACAATTGGAATCAAATACATTTTTTTTTTTATAATTTCACATTACAAGTTTTACATTCAATATTACAAATTTAGTATTCTTCGTCTTTTTATGAATCTCACATTATGTGTTACAAATGTCATCTTCTACTTTTTGTTTTTTTAATTAATATCAATAAATAATGATCTTATATTATAAAAAAAAAATGGATGGTATTAACCACCCTGAGTAATCATGTGAGATGATAAGGACTTTCAAATGTATTATTCAAGAAGTTCTGAGTTCGATTCCCTTCGATTGTTAATAAGGGTAACCACTGGAGGGTTTACCCGGTCGGTAACTTCAGGGTCTCGAAAGATTAGTCGAGGTACACATAAACTGGCTCAGACACCCTCGATCAGATAAAAAATGAAGGATGGTATGTTTAACTTAAATTTATAATTTAAATTAGAACACAAATTTATGATCACACATTTATTATAGTCTAACGGAAATGAAATAAAAGATCAAATCGATTAACTCAAAAACCCTAGTTAGTAAATACGGGTACGGCAAAAAAAGGGTACGGGTATAATACGGTAAACAGTAAAAAATACGTTTATAAAAATTCGGCCATAAAATTCGAATACGGGAAAAATATGGTACGGGTATATACGGATTTAATACGGTGTATTGTCAATAATACGTTTTGAAAAATACGGCAATATCAATCTTAGTTTTAACACTTTTATGGACTACCTGGTTAAAATCAACATAATATTTCAAATGCAAAGTATTCAATTAACCAATAACACAAATACACAATATATAACTGATATTCAAATTATAGTCTCCAGACTCAAACACAATATTTAGCCAAGATTCAACTATAGTGTCAAATTAAACACATAAGTCATAACAGAATTGGGTTATGAGATGTGATAATTTTAACTCTACTGATGAGTGATGAGCCCTCTTCTGCTTTTCAGGCCTTGGGATAAGAGGGTTAAAATTAATCTAGTACTATAATCAAACTATTTTGAAGTATATTTATTTATTGGTTAGAATTGGATTATATAGTATATTTATTTATTTGAATATAAGAAATAATTTTTATTTTACAATTAAATAATAGAGAGTCACATATTTTAATAGGCTGAATGACATTTTCTCAACCCAAAGTTTGGCGAATTCCATCCCACCCTTATTAAAATTCTTAAGTTAGTTTTAATGGTTAAAAGACATTCGTTAGTCTAGTATGCACAAATTTTATTATAAATTTAAATTACTTACAACCCTAAAATACAAATAGATGGTAATTACCTTCATTAACTTGGAAATTAGTCACTTAAACTCTATCTTCAATTTCTATTAAAAATTTATTTTTATTAAAAATTAGGTTATTAAATAAAGAAAAGTTAAGTTTTATAAAAATAAAATAAAATAAAGTATGAAAATTAATAAATAACCATTTTTAATAATTAAGAAAAAAAAAATATAAAAATAAATAAAATTGCCCCAGCCCTTTTATCTTTCTCCCACACCCCACCGCCACAAAATCCTCCACCCCAATATTTTTCATAATTCACACCTGCTACGCACCTTCCCTCATCCCCAAAATCTAACAACCCTAGCGCCCCACCTTCATCATCTTTCGAAACCACTACGAACTCTAGCAAGGCCACCTCCCTAATTTCTTCTCTTTCTCTTCATTCTTGTTTTCCCTCTCTCACTATTAGTTTAATGTTTTCATGGATTTGTTCATTTTCAAGGTGAATTTGATGGTTGTTTGGGGCGTATTGCTGACTGCGAAGAACTGAAGAAGAATGACTGAACCAGATCTGTTTTAAATTTGTATAAACCCACAAAACGAGTGTTTTGGGGGTGTGAGATTTTGTTTTTTTTTCTTCAAAAATTCGCGAATTATACGACAGATTTTACAAAATACGTATACACATGTTTTATACGTGAATTATACGGTTGTCCGTACAATTCGCATATAATACGGTTTTTACTAACTAGGTTAAAAACTACTAAACGAGAATCATTTTTTTTTTTTATATATAAATCAAGAAATCTCTGAATTCGCATTGCGAACGATAGCATATACCAAAAACTACTAAAAGAGAAGCATAAAATCATTTTTTTCCTAAAACAAAAAAAAAAAAATTCCAAAAATCCCAACTCGCTCCCGAAATTCTAATCGCACAATTTGTAAAAGCAATCACCAATCTAACCATCGGACTAATCACTCATACAATAAATGAGAACCATTACAAAGATAAACCAAATATTGGAACAAAATCAAAATTATATGTTCAAAAGAAAATTTCTATGGATTTTTGAGAGGGAGGAGAAAGTGAGGCTGGATCTCATTCAAGTGAGAAAAAAGGAGCATAATGAGGATATTGTACAACAACCAACAATTTACATTTAAGGGATGGTGAAAATTACACCCCCATCCCTACATTTAATGGGGCAGTACTACACCCCACCACGAAAATGAAGAAGTATAGAAGAAAAAAGTACAAAAAAATTGGGAATTAAGATTCAATCACATCATTTTATCCCATTTTAATTTCATTTCTATGGCTAGAGGGTTTTTTTTTTTTTTTTTTTAAATCTTTTTTTACTCTACAGTAATTTCTAGTATAGTTGTAAGTCTGGGTTTTTTGTATCTCCTAAGAAGCAATGAAGAGCATACAACACTAACAGAAGAGAGAGCCATACATGCACCAGCCACCCACGGCGGCAATATTATTCCTAGCGACGGGAAGAGAGCGCCAGCAGCAACAGGAATTGCAACGACATTGTAGGCCATGGCGAAGACATAATTCAAGCGAATACGAGCAAAGGTTTTTCTGGAAAGGTCAATGGCGGTGATTACATCTTCTAAGTTATTCCGCATCAAAACATAGTCTGCTGCTTCAATGGCAATATCTGTACCTGCCCCAATTGCCATACCAATGTCGGCAGCAGCTAGAGCAGGCGAGTCGTTGATCCCATCCCCAACCATTGCTACTATGCTTCCGTCTCTTTGAAATGAACGAACGGCATCAGCTTTTCCCGCTGGCATAACCTCTGCCATCACATCTTGAATGCCAACCTGCCGAAAAACAGATAATTTTAATTCATGCTTCAAACAAATTATAACATTTTTTTAATACAGGTTAGACATTGGTTACCAATTCCCAGCAATAATTAGTTAATTACAGCCGGAATGAAATATCATATAAGTCAAAATTCCGAAAATGGCATTTAAAGTTCCAACAAATAGAAGACTATACACAAACCTCTTTAGCAACAGCCCTAGCTGTCCTCCAATTATCTCCTGTCACCATGACTGGCCTCACACCCATTTTCATAAGGCCCTCCACGACCACAGCAGATTCTCTCTTTAGTGGATCCGCAACCCCCAAAACACCGATTAAGTTATCATCACATGCTACAAGTATGCCTGTCTGTGCACTTTCTTCTAATTCTACAAGATAACTTTCTGCATGAGTTGGAATAGTGATTCCACTTGCAATCAGCAACTTCCGGTTACCCACCTGTTCAGGAAACATATAGCCTCCAATTAGGAACCTCAAAAAATAATTGAGAAAATTTCTCAACCTCAAACTGCAGTCAATAGCAATCTTTTTAGAGCAAAAAACTCACCAAAACCCGTTTTCCTTCTATAAAGCACTGTATGCCTCTTCCTGGCAAAGCAGAGAATTCCGTCGCATCAAGAAGCCATCCAGAAACATTGGAAACTCTGCCTTGATTTTGGGTATTTTTTGTTGGAGAGGGATCTTCAAGAAAATGAAAATGGCGTGCATACTCCAATATTGCTCTTGCCAATGGATGTTCACTACTAGCCTATTAAATGGAAGAAGAAATATTACTTTTTGTTGACAGCCTTCTGTTGCCTACTATTTCAAAAAGGTTTTCCCTCCTTTAGTACCACAAAATTAAATCGTATTTAAGTAAATATATTCAAGAAAGAAATCAAAACAAAGATCTGAATCCCTTTTAATACTAAATTGAACGGGGCAGCTTGCTGTTGCAGCACGTCACTCTAATTTATAGCAGACTTAAGATCTTTGGCAAAAAAAGAGGAGATGGGACAGGCAAAAGGTTACTCAAGCTAACAGAAGTTACCTCTGCAGAAGCCACAAGTGTAAGAAATTCACCACGATCCATTCCCGAGAAAACCTTTGCAGTTGTGACGGTGGCTTTCCCTTGGGTTAGGGTGCCTGTTTTATCAAATATCACGTACCTAACCTTCTGAGCTCTTTCCAAAGCATCACCTCCTTTAATGAGAACACCATTATTAGCCCCAACTCCAGTTGCAACCATGACGGCAGTAGGAGTGGCCAAGCCAAGAGCACATGGACATGCAATTACCACTACTGATATAGAAAACATGAGAGCAAAAACAAAATAATTGCCATTTTCAGGCAACCACGTTTCTGGGTATGCTCCAGCAACTCCACCAATATACCTACAAACAATTAAAAGAAAAAAAATACAATTAACGGGACGTTTATACCATGGTGGTGGTCTAAACATGCTAACAACTTCACAGATCTACTATCAGGAGAAGATGCTAGAATATTACAGTGTAGATATTGTAACCAACAACCCAAAAGCTTAAACTTATGTTAAAGGACACAAACAGCAGTAATTTAACTTTCACAGACTCCTCATGTATTAGGCTAAATTTTAACAGACTTGTCAAGTGAATCCAAAACATTCAAACAGGTTCAAAGATATGGCCAACTTGCTTTGTGTTTAAATTCAATTTGCTACAAGAATATAAACACAAGAAATTCTGATGAATCTAACTTTTGAGACACNCAACTTCACAGATCTACTATCAGGAGAAGATGCTAGAATATTACAGTGTAGATATTGTAACCAACAACCCAAAAGCTTAAACTTATGTTAAAGGACACAAACAGCAGTAATTTAACTTTCAGAAACTCCTCATGTATTAGGCTAAATTTTAACAGACTTGTCAAGTGAATCCAAAACATGCAAACAGGTTCAAAGATATGGCCAACTTGCTTTGTGTTTAAATTCAATTTGCTACAAGAATATAAACACAAGAAATTCTGATGAATCTAACTTTTGAGACACCACTGATCCCAAGAACTTTTTAAGTGAAAAAGAAAGAGCTCAAAAATGTTATTTGAACTTACCAGCCGAAAAAGGTCAACAATGACAAAGCAACCACTGTAGGAACGAAAATGCTTGCAACCTGCATGTCAAAAAGAAACCATGATATAAGAAAAAAAAATTGAGTTTATAACGGTTAGCTATAACTTATTTGACATTTAAAAATATAAGAACTGATGCTTATGTTTTTGACAGATGGTTTCAGCATTACTCTTCCATCTCCATTTTACATAGCAAGATTAATATTAAATTATCTTTCCTATATATCTACTATATCTGAGGTTACATTCAAGACATATTTAATTATTCACATTTGCAACCAAAGCATGAAAAGGGGATTGACATATAATAATGTCCAGATTGTGCCTATATGAAAGGCAAACTATTTCAAAAACTAACGATGTGAATTAACTGAATATGTGAACTTACAAAATCGGCAAACTTCTGAATGGGAGCTTTTGACATCTGAGCCGTCTCAACCAAACTAATAATCTGACTTAAAACTGCATCAGATCCTACTTTGGTAGCTTTAATATGAAGGGCACCATGTAAATTTATTGTACCCCCAATAACTGACGAATCAATCTCCTTTGGAACTGGTATAGCCTCACCAGTTACCATACTCTCGTTAACATAACTTGTGCCCCATACCACAATACCATCAGCAGGAAGCTTTGCACCAGGAAGAACCTTTAATGTGTCACCAGGTTGAATTAGCAAAGCATCTATTTCTCTTTCATCAATAAACTTTCCTCCTAGAAAACCAATAAATCATATTGCTCAGTTTTTGAATTCGAATTCCATTTTTCGGCATCATGTAGATCAAAATAAATCTATCCTGTGCTTGGACATCCTTATTAATTTCACTTAAAATTTGACCATTCAATATCAGATAATGAAAGTCCAACGAAACTCTAACCACAGTTTTGAGGGAAGAAAAAAGACAGAAAAAGACAAAAAGAAAGAAAAAGAACTTACCTTTGTCTTTGACAACCAACAGTGCTGTTGCCGGAGCAAGTTCAACTAACTTCTTGATAGCATCTGATGTTTTCCCCTTTGCAAGACTTTCCAAATACTTCCCCAACAAAACAAAAGTTATAAGCATGGAGCTAGTTTCAAAGTATGTGGGAGACCAAAACCCTGTAAGTGCCCCATATAGAAGTGCACCAACTGAGTAGAAGTAAGAAGCTGAAGTTCCCAATGCAACCAAAACATCCATGTTAGTTGAACCATTTCTAAGAGCTCTGCCAGCGGCAATGTAGAAGCGCTTCCCAATCACGAATTGAACAACACTCACCAATACCCATTTCAACCAATCACCCATTAGGAAGGGTCCACATCGCCAGAGTATTAAGGCATCCAACAATGGTATGTGAGGACAAATTACTTGTATGAGAAAGACAGGAATCTGGACCCAATACATAAAGAGCAAAAAGTTAATATAGAAATAAAAAGATCTATTAAACCAGCTACATATTAATGATCTATTTTTAATACAATATAAAGAGATTGTTTACAATGCTAAATTCCTGCAAAGAATTAATGCCTTCTCTTACTGAACTTATCAAGGTAAAAGCCAAAATGTGGTGTCTATATGTTCTTTAAAGCAAAATTTTCAGTGGGCCCCACACAATCAAACATGTTTACAGAATACACGTCGCAGTTATGTATGTTAGGTAAGGAGGGGACGAAAGAAAATACTCACACTGAGAAACAAGCTCGAGGTGAAAAGCTGAAACATATGTGAGGTTTCTTCAACATCTCTAGAAGTCATTCTTGCATATGGGTTCATAACATGTAATTTAAACTTTCCGAGGCTTCCTGCCTCAATCCCCTCAACTATAGATCTTGAATGGACGACTTCAGGATCAAAGAGAACTTCCAGTTCTCCTGATATTCTGTCAAAGCGAAATTGTCTCACTCCTTTAAAGTTGACAAGTATGCCTTCTAAGATATGAACGTCCAACTCAATGAGTACTCCAGTAACCCGAAGTACTATTTTATCCTGTTCACTGCTCTGTACAAATGAACCTTCGAAACCAGCATCTTCAATTGCATTGACTATATCCTCTTTACTAATTACAGTAGGATCATACTCAACCTCCCCTAATGAAGTAGCTAAAGCAACTACTGCCTTTTTCACACCAGGAAGATCCCTCAAAATACCTTCAACAGAGTTCACACAGGCAGCACATGTCATACCCCCTATCGTGAACTGCCCCATTAGCGTTCCAAGTGGCTTTTGACCAGATGTACTTGGTTCAGTTAGTATTTCGGCCTCAAATCCAGCATCCTCAATTGCATTCTTTATGTCCTCTTCCTAAAGTAAGCAGTCAAGATATATCAGTAAAAAAACTACATCCAATGTTTGAAGACAATCAATGGTTAAAACAAAAGGCCAGCATAACTCTTCAGATAGCCAGAAATTCTCTCATCCCTAGCACGCATGGACGAAAGTGGATATAGAAGATGATCAGTGCACGTGTTTAAATGTATTCAGGACAGCCAGACAGAACCCGAATGGAGTATGATAAACTATATGATTGTATGCCCATAGAGTTTCAATACTAATCCAAATGTTATGTTTTAAAATTGTGCATAAATCTTTAAAATCTTTCCTCTCACGACAAAACCATATCCACGTACCATTGCCCTTCCATCCCACCCGACTAAATGTCTAGTTTGGGAATTCAAGACATTAGTCTCCATTAACAACAGTTTATATGGGTGAACAAGGAGCCGGACTGGGCTAAGGTCTATGACTAACCATATTCAAAGGGGCAAAGAAGGGGAAAAAAAAAAAAGTTAACTAACTTTACTAAATCATATGTCTCAAAGGTTTGATATTATCTCCGACGTTCCCCTCTTTTGACTTGACTAAAAGGAAAATATAGCGCCAAAGAGAAGTGAAAGATGTAACCTTACATTTTTTTTTTTGTTTTTTTTTTTTTGGTTCTTTGGGATTTGGGATTTGGAAAGAATAGGATTTACAAAAGTAACTTTCTTTTGCCTAATGCTAAACATGATTGCACTAGAACTGTTAAACACAGAAAAAAACATAAAAGAAACACCATCAAGTCCATTAATAACTGTTAAAAAGAGAGTTTTGATGATTAAGGAAAACTTTATCCTAATATTAATCATGACTGTAACCCAAATGTAAGCAAGCATGCAAGCACACACGTATGCGCACACACACACACACACTCACACACATGGATACAAGCATGATGACAAAAATATCCAAGAGACACAAATCCATAATCATTCTTTCAACAATCGACAACACCGACTCTACTCCAATTAAAGATTAAAACTAAACAGTAACAAGTAACATTAGCTTTAGACCACAACCTCCAATGCAACAAAGCAAGACAATCCATGACAAAAAATTATAATCCATAGATAATCAAACAATCATATGAGATTGAGGCATCAACAGAAAATAAATGAACTGGAAATCCAGCTCAAGAAACCTTAATTCTGATTAAATTCCCATAACTTACCTGTAATCAAAAAATTAAACCAAGTTATAACACGATTACTGGACATTCATCCAAAAACTATGTGATTATGACAAATGTACTAATCAAAAAAGAAGACATCTCACAAAACTTTACTTTCTAAGAGCTAAACCCAACCAATTTACCTATCCAGCATCTATAGATAAATGAGCTAAACTAACCCAAATTTACAATTAAGAGCTTTTATATTAGAAAATAAACAAAATCATGGTCCAATCCATCCTGTAATAATAAGTGGAAAAAAGTTGGTCAACGTTAAAAACGAAATCGAATACATGAAACTAAGACATAAATACAGTACTAAAAACCCAGATACTGCTCCAACCTTAAAACATAAAACGATTGACTTATCGAAATGCAGCACATATGAACATCCAACCTAATTTAATTTTCAAGGATCAAGCAAAACCAGAACTAGCTTATTTATATCAAAAACCTGAGACAGGACCTAGTAATCATAAGCCAACACTAAGCCATTATCCAATAAATCACCAAAAAGTGATCCAACTAAAACAAAAAAAAACCACAACAAAACAAAACTTAACCAGATTAAATCAACTTGTAGCAACAACCAATTCTAACTTTACACCTGAAAATGAGACTTTACATCCCTTCAAAACAGCTAATTCGGCTCCAAATTTTCAAAATGCATACGCTAGCCCACCATCCATGATCCAACGCATAAGGCACAACAGCCAGAACAAAAACACAAACTCAAATGCAAGAACATGAAAACAACACTAACTTATCATCAAAAAGAGTTAAAAAAAAAAAAAAAAAAAAAGATATACCTTTAACAACATTAAGCTCCAATTTTTAAAAACTAGCACCAAAAACAATGAATCACAACGAAAATTAACCACAAATCGAAGTCATCACTACCTTCCAAAACAACAAACTAACCCGAATTAAGACGCATGAAAGCAACATAATTTATCATTTCTCAGATAATTATTAAAAAAAAAAAAAAAAAACCCCACGAACGTTTTTTATAGCAAAGTAACCACCTTTTAACATCAACACATAAAGCTCCAATTTTCAAACTAACACTAACCCGTTATCGTAATCCACCAAGCTTAATCACCCAGAAATAAATTAACCCAATCAAACTCTAAAACAACTTCAAATTGTATCTATTTTCAAAACTAAGGCAGCCTATTTCAAGCTACCTCACCTTAACCAAATTGGGATCATAAAAGACATCAGCTTGTTTCTCAGCAAAGCAACAGAGGCTTTGACCACTCCATTGACCGCCCTGAGGCTCCTTCAACGGAGTTGGAGCGGCGGCACACGTCATCCCCGTGACACGGACCTGAATTCGCTCATACCCTCTTCAATTCTCATCAAATTTCCCACTTTCGTCGTAAGAATCCAGAAGCCTCACGTCCTCCATGTCAATATCGGACCGGGCGACCCGTTGCCCGGGTGAGCTGCAAGTCCCTGATGCTCGGCGCCATCTCAAAGCACGAAAAGACACCACTGAGCATGCGAAGTGGAGGGCTTTTAAGGGAGGGTTATGAGGAGAGTTAGATAGAGAGAGAAATGGAGGGATTTACGAAAAAAAAATAAAGAGAAACAAGAGGGAGAGAAAGTTTCCGAGGGAGCTGGTGAAGACAGCAATTTTTTAACTAGAGAAAGAAGGTGGGATTTCTTCAATTACTTTTTTGCCCCTCGAATTTCGGTTTTCTTACAAGTTAGGATTTTTTTTTTTTTTTTTTGCTTTTCTTTTTTTTTGGAGTTGTACTAACAAATTGGTCTTTGTACTGCACATGAGGTTTTGTGGGGGCCGAGTCAAAATGAAAGTTTTATTTTGTTTTTAATATTCCTACCTTATCACATTTCATCATATCTAAAATATATATTTATTTTTTTTATTCTAAATCTAATTTTATAATTTCACTATTTATAAACCTCTTAGATTTGATATAATTAAACTAAATACCTCACAAAAAATAAATTATAAACTGATAAAAATTCTCACTTACCCTATATTCTCAGAAGCCAGTTGTCGACTATAAGCATTTAGATAAGTGGAATATTTTTGCTAATTTTAAAACTTTTATTATAGGGTGTTTAACTAAATTAACAAATATAAGAGATTAAAATAATATTTACCACACATTTTCAAATTCAAATCCTCTATTGTAATAAAATCCAACTCAATTTTAAAAATCTACTCAAATAAAACAAACCACACCATATGATATCTATTTCTTATTTTATTTTTCAAAATTAGATGATAAATATTATATTTAGGGGTAATCTTGTATTAGGAAGTGAAATTTGTCACGCAAGCGAGAAATGTGTGAATGTTTAATCCATGTCGAATAAAAATGATTAGATATAGAATTTTTACTTCAAATGAAATCATATGTGTAAAATATCCTCGTAAATATGAATCACAGTTGATATATATATATATATATGTGGAGATTTTCGGATAGGTTAGGTATCTATCAACACTTGTACACATATTAGAAAGATATCGGTTGTCTGCTAAAAAAGAAATTGCCAAATGTTCAATTTGGCGATGGTGGAAATTGATTAGATATAGGGAATTTTTATGTTGGACAAGATCTTTTTGTGGAATAATATATCCGATTGAACAGAGAGATGTAGAGATCGCGTGGTGTTATATATATATATAGGTACCTTGTATTTAGGATTTAAAGATTCATCGACTAATTAAATATTTATCGAATATGCAATCCAATATTAGAAAGATATTTGGTGATATCAGGTAATTTATCGGAAATAATATTATAACCATATAAGAATGTTATAATAGATTCTTGTATTTAGAGTTTAAAGATTCATCATTAGATAAAATTTATCAATGCAATACGATATTAAAAAGATATGTTAATACATATAAATATGGGTCGGATTTTAATTATTAAACTATACTTTACATCCAATATTTTTATTTTATTAAATATATTAATTATTCATTTTATATTTTATTTATAATTCAATAAATACAAAATCTTACCTGGTGAAAGAAGTGTTGGGTGGCTTTGCACTAGTTACTATTTACTAACATGGGGATGAGTTTTGTGGGACAATCAGCTGGAAACACCTTTTTTTTTAATTCATATTTATATTTTTTTTTTTTTTTCACTGGATTATCATTAAAAAGGTTTAATTTTCTTTCATCCTTTTGACATCGATTGATTCATTAGAGGTAATTTTGTTGTTTAAAGGACGGTATATTCTAATTCTATGTGGGTGCTCGCCACGTGTCAAAATCCCATTTTATTTAGAGTTTGATTAATTTTTAGATTATCAATTTCATAAAAGTCGCAAAATCGTCTATAAATTGATTTCAATCAATCATACTAAAGTAGAAATAGATTAATATTATAATTTAGAGATAACGACAACACCACTTCATAAATTAGTTTTTTTGATAAATAATTAGTGTCCACTTGTTTTCAAGTATATTATACATCTTGTGTTTGTGAATTAATAAAAATAACATATGTTATAATCAAATTCTTCACACTCATTTTATGAATCTGAGTGCGAAATCGGACTCTCACCGAACCCTACTATTAAGGAAATGGGAAACAAATCAACAATCAAGAAATCAAATTCTTTTGCTTTATTCAATTAATTTTAGGTTAATTTCTAGGTACCAAAAATGTTTATACTTAACTCAGCCACAAATTAATGGTGGGGGAGTTTTGAAGTGTCTTTAAACTATTCATCAAATATTATAACAATATCATCATTATTATTAATTGATATCAATAATAATTTTCTTGGTCATTTTCTAACATTTTATTTTGAGATTTATAATATCGACTTATCAAAATTTATCAATTTTTTGAAATGTTTATCTTGACTTATATCAAAAAGTAAGGAATATGCTGATTATAGAATTATTTATTCATTCTTTTTTTTTTTTTTTTATTTTTTTACTAATGGATCAAATCAAGTTATCAAAATAACGCAAACCTATCAAAACAATCGTTGTTCAATTTGTATAAATTAAATACGGTTTAAATAGTTGTAAATATATTATATCTTATAATAGAGAGAACACCAACTTTGTCAACATGAATAAAAATATTACATAAGTCTGTCTAAATTCTATATTAATTCACGAGTTTTTCATTTTGATATTTTATATTATAACATTATATTTTTTTGATATCAATATCGTTACATTATCATAAAATCTGTCTATATATTTAAGTAATTTTTTCTAATTTTTTTTTTTTTTTTAGTTCATGTTCTACATTACATTGGAAACTAGATTAAATTAAGGCAAGATGGGTTTGGTTGAACCTACGTTTAAATAAGATTACGTGGGAAATGAATAAATAAATAAGATTCAACTGAAAGGGTATTCTGGGAAATGTGAAATTTTGTTGCTGGTTTTGCGTAAAAGAATAGCGTTCGTATGGTAGTTTTGTTCTTGAAACGACAGCGGTCAGAGACATAGACAGATAAAGGCGGCTGACCGGCCTGTGCTTAAGCTATGCGTATACAATTTGGGAAGCCCCTTTTTCCCTTTGAAAAAGTCTTTCTTTTAGTATAGCCAAACTTTATTCTGTTGCAATTATTGAGGGTAAAAAGTCATTAACGTTGAGGAAGCTAATGCATTAAGAAAATCTATTTATAAACCATCCCTCTGATGGTGTTGGAGTGGTGCAATTGACATTTTTGGGTGTATTATTTAAAAAATCTTGAGTTTGATTTTGGATGATTATTCAAAAAGTATTGAGTTCGATTCCTTAAGTTGTTAATAAGATTATAGGAAAAATCTTGAGTTTGATTTTGGATGTATTTATTAAAAGTATTGAGTTCGATTCCTTTAAGTTGTTTATAAGATATAGGAATGGTCACTAAAAGTTTATCCAATAGTTAACTTTAGGTCTTGAGAAACTAGTTAAGGTACTTGTAAGCTGTTCAGACACAATCAATTACCAAAAAAAAAGTCTATTTGTAAACTAGGTAAATATTTACACGCTAAGTCATTGGACAGACTTATTTGACCAAAGATTAATTTTGAATACGAACCATGTATATAAATAACAAGTAAACTACGCTAACAACTTTTTTTTTTTTTTGTTTTTTAATCAACCACGTCATTTATTTATATAATTAAAAATTTCAAATAACTCAATTTCACTACAGTGGAGATGGGTACCCTTATAATTGACAAACCATTCAATAACTTTATTTAAGTGTTTTAGGTATATATATTTATAATTTCATTCATTTTCAACTTTAATCACAATTGACTACTCAACACAAAGCTTCCATGGATAACCAAAACTTTCTTTTTGGTCAATAAAGAGAACAAACAAGGAAATGAATCCAAAATTTTCATCAAGCCAAAGCTTTACTATAGGGATATTCTTATTGCAAAGATGACATTTTCTCCACTAACCCAATGCAAAAAAACAAAGGAAAAAAAAGAAGAAGAAGAAAGAATAAATCTTCCACTAAAAAGAAAAAGCCAACTAATCATCATCATATCAAAATGGATATCCTTATTGTTTCCACCATTTTTGTGGGTAAAATGTGGGCATGATTTGGCATCCATATGTGCATTATTTGAATTTTGGACCACCTCATGTATGATTCACTCTTTCGTTATTTAGAAGGTCACAATTATTTATTTAGTGGTTTGATAATGTTATCGAATATGTAAATTACGTACGTATGAGAATCATAAATTATGTTATCAATAAATGTTTTATTTATGGATCATCGAAAATGACATATTTTAAAGTGATTTTCTATATTCGAGGTACCTGTCCGAAAATTGGAAGTTTGATATGAAAATGATGATGGGTGATAAAAGATAATAATCAAAGAATATTTTAATTCATCTTTAATGAAAAATATAATGATTTAGACATTATTTATAAGTTTGATAGACTATATTATAAGTACGACATTCTTACATTATCTATATAAAATTAGTTTCATGTCATTAAAATTCATTATTTCAACAATCACCAATTTCATATCAATTCTTCCATTAAATTTTTTCACAAGTATTATTAAACGGTTTAATTGTGTACTACCATAGTACAATCTGATAACGTTACGGGATCGATATAACTCATAAATCTCATAATTTTCTTAAAAACTAAAAATAGTTGTTGGCAAATTGCCTAACAACTCCCAACAACATAGCATTTCCCTTATGTAGTTGGGAAATTATATTTCTTTTGGAGAGTGTATCTATTGTTGAAGTTGTACTACCAAAGTACAAAGATTGGGAAAGGTTAAAATAGATAATGTGAGAAATATGAATTAGGTGAACTCAAATAAATAAATACAATAAAGATATTGTAAAAAGAAAGTCTCCCCTAAACAGCTAATCCATTGAAAATGTTGCAATCACTTGTTGGTGTTTAGTCATTTTAAAGAATAATGTCAATTTCAATGGTTGAGTTTAGTTAAGTTTTTTGGTGCAAGGTCAGTGACCAAATTCAAGATTAGTTATATGGTGTTTATGGGCAATTAAGGTTAGAGTCAATTACCAAATGAAGAGAGAATTTGTTGAGTTGAAAGCAAGCAATCAAACAATATATCATATATTTGTTTGCATTTGCTTGGCATTTTGTCAAACAATTTATGTGCAATGTGATGGGTTCATCTAATGAATGTGGAGGTGTTGGTTCTTTAGGTGAGAGTTGGTTTGGTTTGGTCTTGCCTACTAACTTCATTTTCAAGTCATTTATGTCAATGTTATGTTGAAATGCATATGTTGTATACGTCGTTAAAAAAATTACGGGTGTGTTTTTTTATGAATTTATTGTTTATGTTTTCTCTCTTTTTTTTTTTTAAATATTGAAAATGATTGGAAAATATGAAAATAATGAAAATACTTTTGGAGTGTTTTGAAAAATGAAAACATGTTCGTTTGAACACAAATAAAAAAAAAGAAAGAAATTGCTTAAAATTATGAAATTAATCATCTTCACAACCGATAAACCAGTTTAAATTATTACTTATTTTGTTAACCTCAAATAACTTGTCTTAGATATTTTAGCGGTTGATTTTTGTTTGTAATTTTGTATCTAATTATCTTAATTTAAAACTAAAGTTTTTGCTTCAGGAAAGATATGAGAAAAATATAAAAACAAAAAGAGAATACATAATTCTTTATTCAAAATTATAATTTTCATGTAAAAGTGGGGTTCATATTCTCTTTTTTTCCCTATCATTTACTCTCTTTTCCGTTTAAAATTTTTCAAAAATGGTAAACGACTAGAAAATTTGTCAATTTCAATGCAAGGAAAATGAAAAGGGTATGCAAAATTCATAAACAAAATTATCCTATAATATCCTTTTTCTATGCCAGGGTTGATGATCGGTAATCAACTTTGATTTTGTATTTTGTTTAGTTAACGATTAGTTACCCGTCCTTGTTCCATACTTTAAAAAGTATGGACCAAAGGTTGATGACCGATAAGAAAAAGTTATATGTTTATGCTCGATCAATGAATTGTTTCCTCTTTTATCTATCATAATCATTAATATAATCAGTTATCTACTCAATAAGTTTTACTGACTCGACGCATAAATAAATATTATTTATTTATGTTAGTGCCATTAAAGAATTATATCTTTCAATGTTAGTGAAGAGATTTGGAGTTACTAAAGATGAAGAAAACAGTTGATTTCAATTACGAGAATTGACATCCATAAGTCTTCCACAAATGGAAAGAGGTTTAAAGCACAAAACAACATGCAAAGCCTTGTAATCAAAACCAATAATTTAATTTAATATTAAATAAAAGCAAAATCATATATGATATGATATGATGCCCCAATATCATATCATATAATAAAAATTAAATAAAAGCAAAGTAAAATCTAGAGATTTTGAAAAAGTTAAGATTTGAAAGCTTTGTTCATGACAATGACTATACATACTAAATCATGCAAAATCTAAGACTTGACCCAATTTTGGGCCTTTCTGTTTAGTGGGCTAGTCTATGTTGGGCCCAAATTAGGATTCAAATTGGGTTGAATTGGGCCATGCTTTATTTGGCGGGATTTACTACCGTACCATAACGGTAATGTTACTGTTACGAGTTTTATAGAATTTTAAGAGAGATCTTTTATTATTTTAGAAAACATTTGTAATGTCTTTTCATATTATAAAGATCGTTTTCAAAAATTATGAAATGTATAATGTGGTATTATCGATTTATAACATGTAATTATGTTTTGATAATATTGAACGTTGTTTGTAATATTTAATTGATATGATGTTTTAGGTTACCAAAGTATTGTTGCATGTTACCAAAATATAATTTCAACAACATTTTCGATCATTACCGACTTTTCTATTTAGTTGTTTTGGGACGATTATAGTAAAAACGATACTCCAAAAAACGATAGTTGAATTTTTCGTACTCGACACACTCAACGGTATGATTATCGATTGTGTTTAGTATGTCGGTCGCCATGATAAAAGAAGATGTAAGTGGGAGCGTTTGAATTGACACACGCCCGCCATGGTGAAGATGGTGTAGAAATGATGTTTTGGAACATTTGGGTGAACATGTAATTTGACGGCCAAGAATTTGTTGAGTGAAGTATTTTCAAAAGCCCCTAATAATTTAATTTTGTTTATTAAGACCCTAAAAATTAAAAGTTTTTTATACTAGCCCATAACTTAATGGGAACTTACTGAAGTAACTGAACCTCAAAACGCATAAACCCTCTCACCAGAACCCTAGTGTAGAAGACAATTCAACAGTGATTTTGCTTTGCAGGCGACAGAGAAAATGAGAGGCAATTCAGTTTCAATTGTGTTGCGAAGATTTCTTCTTCAACGCCCAGTTTCATTTCTGGGTTCTTCACAATCACAGCTGAAAAAACCCCTAGTTTCAACTTCAAAATCATTCTCATCATCAACCTCTGTAATTCCCAAAATACCCATTTCCAGTCATGGTATTTCCACCTCCTCCACTCAAAAGTTCCCATTTTTTCAGCTCCAGAGAACCCTCTGCTCATCCCCAGATGGTACCCTGTGTTATGTTGTTGCCAGTTATTCATTTTTATTGGAATAATATGCTAGCTTAGACGTATGAAAACCAATAATTGAATGGCTACATTGCATGTTTTCTGGTTTTTTTTTTTTTTTTTTTTTTGGTTTGTTGCCATTGTGCCAGTTTTACGCTTCTGTTAGAGAATATGACTGTCTTATAGTAGAAAAGCCAAGGAATTGAATGGCTTCAATGTATGTTTTACTTGGTGCTTTATGTCTTCTTTTTGTTTTTTGGCTTCCATTGTTGCCAGTTACTAGACATTTAATGGCTACTTTGCATTGCTTACTTGGGTGCCTTTTGTTTCAGTTGCCAGCTATTTATTTTCGCTAGAATAATTTGCAATCATAGAGTAGGAAAACCAAGAAATTGAATGGCTTCAGTGGATGTTTTAATTGAGTACTTTTGTTATCTCAATCAGGTCTTTAAAGAAACGGATGGTATCATTGACTGTTCAGCATCATCACAGAACTTCCATACCATGAATATATCCGTCAGCTTTCAAAGATGTTAAAGCCTGTAGTAATTGTTGAATTATGTATGGTAATCCCATTTTAAATGTTGGTGGTAATCTTCTCTAAAGTATGCTTCCGGTGGAGAATTTTTGGCTTTTGGTTTTATTCTCTAGTAGATATATGTGATAATACCTGTAAATTGTCATATATTTCTGGGCAAAGAGATGTTGAACTTGCATCTTAAAGAGGAGAAGACATTTCCAATTTAAGTTGCACTAATAGGTTTAATTTTTTTTTTTTTTTTTAATTGTACGGTCCCGAAACGATTTCGAATTTTGTTAGCTTGTTATATTATCTGTATCATACCTGATATTCACGAGTGATTCAGATCTCATTGATTGTTTGAGGCGGTACAATGTTGCTCAAAATCTTAGATGCTTAGTTAACTTGGGCCTTTTAAGTTGCAGATATCTGTAATAGTCGGACCCCTAGATTGTCTTTTATTTGTGAATTTTTTTTTTCCCATCTTTGGTATATATTTGTGCTAAGTTTTAAGAATAACTGATAAAAAGTTTGATAAAATAGGAGTAAGTTGTTGATCTGTTGCTGAATGATTATAACTACTGCCAAGTCAATGATTTGCATTGGACATCATTTCAGGTTCCTCCAATATTGTCCTCATCAAGTCAGGAGAAGAGTTTAATACTTCACTTAGCAAAGCTAAAGGTTTGTTTCTTTTTCTGTATTTGAAATTTATGATTGCTCAACGGTTAAAAACATTTTGTTGCTCACAATTTTGTTTTATTTCATTGGAATAGATGAATCTATGCCGGCATTATTTTATTTCACTGCTGTATGGTGTGGGCCCTGTAAGTTCTTGTTTTTCTAGTTTTTTGGCTGGAGTGATACACTGTAAACTATACTTTGATTCTCTTTTAAGCTATTTATCTTTTTTTCAGTTGTAAAAATGACCTTCTTGAACTTGTTTAAAAGTATATTTAACTGTGCAGGCAGGTTTATATCTCCTGTCATAGAAGAGTTAAGTGCGAAATACCCCCATGTAAAGACATATAAGATTGACATTGATCAGGTAGGATCCGTGTTACTGCTATATAATTGTTCAATTTTTTTTTTTTTTCTTTTTTTTTTCATTGGGAGGTCTATATCATATTTGCTGTAAATAATATTTATCCATGATTTTCTCCTCACACTTCCTTTTTGCCTTCTGTTGCTGGGATCGTGAGTGTATAGATTATTAAATTAGACATATTGTAAAATTAATAGATTTTTTGTCATGTTGCTGCCTTTGATTTATTTACCTTATGTGCAGCAAAGTAAGCGGATCTTTTTTATTCCCACAGTAAAAATAGTACTCTTTAATATCACACAAACCTAATACATTCACGGAAGTTCTCTTGTGACATGAAGTACAGGATTGTGAAAAATTAGATTTTACTTAGATTGATTCTAATTGTATTTATCCCATGTATTGGGGACTAATATGAAATGATTAATTATTAAATTAGAGAGGTTGATTACTTTTTATATAGGACTGAAGGTTGGGACTGGATGTTTATATACTTTAGACAGGTTATTGTTTTAGACCATATTAGATTAGTTTTTACATATTTTATTTTAATTCTATATTCCTCCTAAGAAAGCCATCCTTGCTACTGGGAATCATCATTAAAATCATTGTACCTGGATTAATATTCAACAATGATCATTTGTTCATAATGAATGGCTAACAAGTTTTTTTATCTGTCTGCTGGAGTGGCTGAAAGCTCTTCTGTAATCTCTTTCTTTAACCCAGCATTTAGAGAGTGCTATAGCAAGCAATGTATGTGATGAATTTTACATTAGGAGCTTGGTTATTCTAGTTTCCCTGTCTCAGTTATCATTCAATGTGAAGCTGCCTGTGAAGGATTTAAGATTATTTACTTGATAGTAGTATAATTGTCCTTCAAAAAAGTTGCTGGAACTAATGTGGTCATTTTATTGCAGGAAGGCCTTGGAAGCACATTGGGCAAGCTAAATATTACTGCTGTGGTGAATAACTTGTTTCTTTCTTTTGCGTTACTGTTTGAATATTATTATTTCCATGTATAGCCTCAGGAAGCAGACTGCTTGAGTGAGTGTGTATTTGTTTTTGTTTTATCTTGAACTGTCTACTGTTCTCTATGTTGTATTTATCCGTTGATCGACATTTTACTCAAAGGAGAAATGTGCTTCAAAGTTCACCCTTTTTAGGTAATTACATGATATTAACAATAGTGGAGGAAAAAATTATCTTCTGAGCTAATTGACAAGAATTTTAAAGTTCTGCTCAGTATATATTTATATTTGTATCATATCCTATTTTGGTTTTTTCCTTAATATTTATATTTTGTTTTCAATGAAAAGAAGATAACAGCTGCTTTTGCTGCTGCGCTCTTTTCTTCATCATTACATGATAATCTTTTGTTCCATCCTTTGTGTTCTTGATGGATAGAAATTTAATAGGACATCATAATTACAGGTTTTAAATAATATGGACATTGCTGAATGTTGGTTGGCCATTTCATTTTTAGCCTAACTAGTCACACTTCATTATTTCTTAATAATTTTCAACTTGTGCTGCAGCCAACACTTCTTTTCTTTAATAATGGGGAAAAAGCAGCTGAAGTAATTGGTGCCGATGTTGCACGGTTGAAGGACACTATGGAAAAACTTTACAAGTAAAACTTTGCCCTCCTGCTTTGCATTTGTGGAACCGCAAGATTATACATTTTTCTGTTTGTTAATGCAATGCATGTGTTAATTTTTTTTTTTTTTACCAAGGTACTTAGCATTCGGGCTTTGTCGTTGCAACTTGAGTCTTGATAAAATATTACTACTGTTTCTTATTTCTAGATCAACTTTAATAGAATATCAGCGATTAAGAATTCTCAAATGCTAACTTCAGCGTTTTCTCAATGTCTACGCTCAACTCCTTTGGAAGGAGTTTGTTAAAAAACAAAATGGTCATATACTCTTTTACATAAGTAGTTGACAGGAATTCACAATTTTATATGCTTTAGCGAACCGTTTGCAAACACGGCAAACACTGATACGCTCAATGGCTGGTTGTATGTGCATCCATTACACAGAAACTTTTCCCCTTGTTGAGTCATTTCTGTTGTTCTGGATTCAGTGCCAGAACTTATATCTCTAAGACTTTTACCTCTCCCTTCTTCTCTCTACCTTTTTTCTGGTCCTTCTTCAGGGCCTATGCATTACATTTGCTGGCTTAAGCTTGCATCATCCTAAATTGATCACAAAATGTTTTTGCGGATTCATCGTTGCTGTTTTAGCAATTGTCTGGTTTTGATTTTTTTTTCTGAGCATTTCTTTCTACATTTCTTTCCAGGAAGGACTGAATGAAGAAAGAAGTTCTGGAGAAGTACTTTTGGCAAAGATTTTCTTATTAGATGAGCTTGTAATATTCTCAAGACAGAAAGATTGAGGAAATGATGGTAAGATACTGCTTTTGTTCAGGCTGGCTTTCTTTTTTGGCCTTTCAAGGCATTATATACAGAGTTGTTCTTAATCATCAGTAAATTCACTACTTAAGAATACTTTAGAGTGAATAAATAAGAATTTAGAAGAGTTTGGTATTTTTTTGCCAAATCGATTTGGTAAAAATGGTCATAAAAAATGAAAACAAGAAGATTATTTTGTGTTTCGTGATCTGAGAATGCGTTCGGTATCATTTCCCTGAAATAATGCTATGAAAATGAGAACAACTATATGCATTCATTAGAGTTTTATGAAAGTAATATATCATGTTCTTGAATATGCCTCAATTTTCAATTTTTTTTTTTTTTTTTATCATGGGTTTATTAATGAAATCTTATTGATTTCTTTAAAAATAATAATAATGAAAGATATCAACATAAAATGAAAATTAAGAAATATGACTCCTATCTGTTATGGATATGGGCTCTCATTGGGCCCTGGAAACCATGCCTCTTTAAAGATGAGTTTAAACTAAGATTTTCTTATAACAAGAGATTGGTGATTGTAAATTCTTTCAACCCAACAAAAAAACAAGACAAAAGAATATGAAGTTTTTTTAAAATAAATTGAAGGGCATTTATAAAAATCCCACATGAAAATAAGAAAGAAATAAACCCTGAATTGAAGTGATACTAGTTGTAGCAAGATAAGGCATCAACCTAGTTGAACTGTTGAAGATCAAAATAATAAAATAATTGATTGATTAAAGATGAAGATGGGGAATACAGCTAGAGCTAGGCCTACAAGTAGAGTTTCAGAAGAAGATGAATAGCAACAGGTAGTCAATTGGTCAAAGGATTGGGACAATCATAGAGCCTGAAAACTTCTGTTTTTGTGACAGTTTTTGGGTCCATTCCCATCGCAATTTGTTATGATTTTTTGCAAGTACTTTTGACTACAATGTCTATGTCATACATTTCCAGATATATCCCAAACTTTATACCATCGTAAAAATACCTAATAATATGTATTGGTTTCTCATTTATAAGTTCATAGTTAGATTCTTTAAATCCCTTTTATACACTAAATATACTAATATTTTAAAAAAATATAGCTCATTCTCGATTAGTACAACATCGGCCCTACTCTTACATGTCCACATTGACGATAATAAGTGAATTATATTGTCCTTTCATGGACACGTTAAACATTAAATTGATATGATGTTTTGCAGTATTTAGTATTTACCCTTGGTTTGCTGGTGAAATTTCCTTGACCAACAGAAAAAGGTAAAAATGTACATGCTCTATCTGTAAGTCAACAATATAGAGATATTTCAGGTTTCATGAACAAGGAGGGTCATGTAGTTAGTTTCTAAAACATAAGGGATAATTTTGTCCTTAATCTATAAACAAGGGGTAAAAATGTAAATCACTCTAAAGGGGGGGAAAAAAAAAAAAATTCAAATCCTACCTAGCATGGGTCATATATGACCCTACATTGCTAAAAAGATTGACGGTGGTGATCGGTGAAGATGTGGTTTGCAAAAACTTTTTTTCTGTTCCCTTTTTTCTGAGCAACCATTTCCTGTCACTTGCTATATGCTCTTCTACTTTATGTCTTGGTTGATGATTTAGTGTTGAAAGGAGGTAACCACTGTTGAAGAAGCTCTATAATGAAAGGTTCCATGGATGCCCCAATAATTAATGGATCTATAACTCAATTCTACTCATTTCAATCTCATTCTCTTGTGTGTGTATTCCACTCTCCACTTTCTGGGATTAATTTTTTTTTTTTCTTTTGTCTTTCTTTTTCCTCTTTTGTGTATCATTAGTGTATACAATCAACCGATGACGAGATAAGTATATTCTACTTGCACGTATTAGTGTAATTTATTTTCTTATTGGCTAGTTGTATATCCACTGGATGCACAAAAGGCTTTCTCTTAATAACCAAGGAAATTTATCCATATTTAGTGTCTGGATAAACTTACACGCACCTTAATTAATCCCTTAGAACGTAAAAATACTCATATTTGCTTTATATTTGTTGCTTACAAATGGTTGAACATATTAGAGTTTAGTTGAAGGTTTTGTATCCAATGATAGAGTAAATTATAGAGATATTCCTTGATAATTAGAAATTGATAAGCTTATAAAATATTATGGTCAACATTAATGCACATCTCCGATCTATGTCTATATATTTACATAGAGTAAAAGAATAGTCTTGGCAGAAAAAGTGCATAAGTCTAGTATGTAGATATGTGTTAAATGATTGGATGGACACATATATGTCTTATTAATGAGAATCTGTTCAACCTTGAGTGATTGAATTTTAAGTATAGCATGCCAATAACAGATGTTATATGATTGATTTCCTTCACTGAAGAGATATTTCAAAGCATAAATTGGCAAAATCATAATACGGACCATGGAAAATAATCAAAATATGACATCCAAATTTAAAGAATCAAAGAGAAGCTTAAATAGATAACCAAATTTACCTTTTATAATGTAGATAGTATATATGGAATACAGATATTATCAATTTTTTTAGTTCATTGAAATATATATTAAAGAGAACCCACTATAATTTGAGTTTAACTAAATTCGGTTGAATCTTATAAGTTCATCGTTAATCGATTAGAAAAATTCAATAAATAATTTCTCCCTTATAGTTGAAGGGCAAACCCTTTAACCATTAGGGTTAGCTATACTAAAAAAATTATTGGACATGTCCGTTAATTTTTTTAGTATAGCATGTCCGTTAACGGCCAGATCCGTGGCTGTTAACAGCCAGACCTGGTCCAGAACTGGCCGATAATGGCCAGGGATCTGGCCGTTAACCACCAGATCTGGCCATTTCCGGCCAAATCTGGCCTGATATGGCCGTTTTCAGCCATCAATATGGCCGGAAACGGCCATAACGAAGCCTTCCGGAGCGTCCCACGGAATTTTCTTCTTTTTTAGGGGCTCCGGCAATTTTCCAGCGGTGGTTCGCTGTGGCTGCAGGCGGCGGTAGGAGGTGGGGGTGATTTCGTCATAAATTAAAAAAATTTATAAGTGGGGATGTTTTAGCTAAATCTGAAATATTGGGGGTTAAAAGAATTATTCAAAAATTAATAATAAAAATAATATTATATTAATATTTAAAAGAGGGTCAATTTAGTAATTTAAATAACATACCCACCAATTTATTCCCATAACCAAATATATTAATATAACATACCCACCAACTAACTAAACATATTTTCTTAAAGATTCCCAATAATCTTTCAAGGTAATCTATCTTTCCAGTAATCCAACATTCCCAGTAATCTAACATTCCTGAACCAAACGCCCCCTTAGGGTTAGCTATACTTAAAAAAATTTGTATTCGAGTCGTATGAGAGATATTTATCATATTCCGTGACTTTGAAGATTAGATAAGTTCTAACGTGGGCCTTGTACCTCATATATCTTAAAAACAAATTCAATAAATAAATAAATTTTAAAAAAATATGAATTTTCAATAGTCAGGAGGCGAATTTACACGCACTATAGTGGAGAGTAAGTCAACAAAATTATGAAAAAATAAATAAATAAATGGGGGAGACAAAGCTTGTAAAAAACCAATGGTAACAAGAAGGTATCCTGAAAAAAAAAAAAAAAAAGCCGCCAAGAAAGAAAGAGAGAGAAAATGAAAAGACCTATTGCTGTATTTGTATGACAAACCAGCTGTTCTGGTTCTGGCTTCTGGCTCCTGCTTCTGAAGCACCTGCCACAAAGTTGAAATTAAAAGTCTGACAAAGTGAAGGGAGTATGCTGGAGATGGGCTGTGATTGCAGTTTAGAATTTTAGATCAAGAAAAATTGTCTCGGTTTGGTTTGTATTTTAATTTAAATGTTTTTCATATTAAAAATATATACTTTATATTATATTAAAAATTGTTTTTCAAATTAAAATATATAAAAAAAAAAGTGAAAAAGGATTAGGAGTCGAAAATCACCTAACTCATTTTCTTTGAACATACTCCCAAAGGGTAATTTATTCCATTATTTCCGAAAACAAGACACTGTATGTTGTATGTATGTAATTGTATTTAAAAGTTTTTTTTTTTTTTTTTAGTGATCAGGATATCCAAGTCAGTTTATGCATATCTCAATTAATCTCTCGAAACTTTGAAATTGACAACCGGATAAATCCCCTCAATAACCACCTCTGTTAACAACTCAAGTAGATCAAACTTAAAATCTCTTGAATAATACATCCAAGAGTCTTAATTGACCGTTGAATCACCCAGTGATAGTTAAAGTTGTTGGTTTGATTTACATTAATTTTAAGATTGTATATGAAACCTGTTTTTGAAAATATATTTTGATATAATATTTAAAAACTGTTTCAATCTATAGATATATAAACTACTATGAAAACTATTAAAAGTCGATTTGTGATCCTACATTGGTTCTTAAATTGTATCCGAAAACTGTTTTCGGAAAATGTTCAAATGACCTTTTTTTTTTTTTTTTTTTTTTTTGGGTTAAACATGATTTCAGAAGGCATTTTGCATCCGTTATTTTCAAAAACAAGAAACTGTATTTACAATTTGTTTTTAGATTATAAGCTATAGAAAAATTAAAAAAACGAAGCTAATCTTACTCCTGTTTAAAAGTTTATATCTGAAAATTGTATTTGAAAATAATTAAACTCATTTTTACCGAAAATGTTTTTGAGGAAATTTTTTTTTTCCTTTTCTCTTTATTAATTTATTTTCCCTTCTCTTCATGTCTCCTAAAAGTCCATCAGCTCATCGCCAACTAGTTCTTCTCAGATTTTGCAGGATTTCATGGGGCTGCATGCCCCCTTTTTTTTTCTTTTTCTTTTACAAACAAATCAATCATTGGCAACTTTAAGCTCAACCATTCCCCATCACACTGTTTATGAATAGTCTTTTTTGTTATATAAAATCACATAATAACGATTAAGAATGTTCGAGGTTTTGTTATGTATCTTTCGTGATGTTTAAGAATGTTCGAGGTTTTGTTATATATCTTCCGTAATGTTATTGGATCGATATTTTTATTAATTATTATAAGTTTTATTATTATTATTATTATTATGACTTCATGACTACATCATATTAGATGATATCTCCAAAATAAAAAAATAATATTGATCGCTAGATTATAATACTGGTAACATGAGCAAATATTTTTGCCAATCATCATCATGTTAAAAGATGGGAGAATAAATAAAAATTTTCTAAAGATATGGGGGTTTTAAAACATTGTAATA